CATTTATTGAATAGACTATCCGTTGTATGTTGTTGCCCCCCTTTGTCCTATAAAGGCATAGATTTATTTCTGGGCTCTTTGTTCTGTTCCATAGATCTATATGTCTGTTTTTATGCTAGTGCCATGCTGTTTTGATTACTATTACCTTATAGTATAGTTTGATATCAGGTAGCGTGATTCCTCCAACTTTGCTCTTCTTTCTCAAGATTGCTGTTGCTGTTTGGGGTCTTCTTTGATGCCATATTTGTTTTTGAAACATTTGTTCTAGTTCTGTGAAATATACGATTAGTATCTTGATAGGAATTGCATTGAATCTATAGATTGCTTTGGGTAGTATGGACATTTTAGTTATGTTAATTCTTCCTATCTGCAAACGCGATATGTATATGTATATCTTCCTCAGTTTCTTTCTTCAGTGTCCTATAATTTTCCAAATACAGGTCTTTTACCATCCTTGGTTAAGTTTATTCCTAGATATTTTATTCTTTTTGAGGCAATTGTGGATGGGATTTTTTTTGTTTTGTTTTTTTTAGTTTCCCTTTCTGATAGTTCATTATTGATGTATAAAAATGCAACTGATTTCTGGATATTTATTTTGTATCTTGCTACATCTTTGTAAATCTTTTTTTTATTTTTATTTCTTTTTCTTTATTGATTTTTAGAGAGAAAGAGAGAGATAGAAACATTAATGAGAGAGAACATTGATTGGCCCAGTCTCCAGTCCTTCTCTCCTCCCCAGAGGATGGGGCATGGGGTGAAAGTTCCAAGCTTTTCACTTTGGCTTGGTTTTACTGGTCATCAGCCCCCTAGCTGTCCAGGAGCCCACCAGGAGAGGCCTTATTAGGACAAAAGACTCTGCTATCACCCAGGAAATTCTAAGGGATTTAGGAGCTCTCTGTCAGGAACCAACATCAAAGACAAAAGACAAAGGATGTTCTTAATGCTTTTCATTTAGGAAATTTCAAGGGTTTTAGGAGCCCTATTCCCAGGAACAAGAGGCAGAGATAAATGTTTATATGTTTTTATTTTGCAGTAGGTAATTTTCCACTCTCTTTGATAGGTGAACATTAAGAAGCCTTGATCATAGTATGTGCTCAATAAATATTGTTGAGTGGATGGTTGAAATAATTAAACACTTCTTTTCCCACACAGCTTTCCAATTAAAATAAGGTGGTGCTCATTTAGTATGCTTTGAGTAAATGATATTACATAGATTGGTTTCTCTGGCTACCTGTGCAGCTTTCCCTGTTCCTTTTCCAGCTGAGTCGTCAAGAGGGAGCTTCAGAATTGATTTCTAAAACCCTGTGTGTACCTGGTGTGATTATAAAGCAATGAGACTGATTGTCATGTGTTGTGTGTGGGATCCGTCTCAGTTACTTTATAGCCATACCTGGTATCTTATACCACAGACCATTGCCTGTTGAATAACTTTTTTTTTTTTGTATCCTTTTTTGATTTTTTTTTAGGGAGAGAGAGAGAGAGAGAGAGAAACATTGATGTGAGAAACCTCAATCAGCTGCCTCCTGCATGCCGCCCACTGGGGATTGGGCCCACAACCTGGGCGTGTGCCCTGACTAGGAATTTAACCAGGGACCTTTCAGTCCATAGGATGATGCTCAATCATCTGAGCCACACCAGCCAGGCTGAACAACATTTTGAAAGTATGAACCTAAGATTTCTAAATGGAAGTTTAAAATGGTTTAGCATAATATGATTTACTCTAACTTACTGATCAGAAATTTTATTTCCGAAAGATAATTAAGATGTTAACTTTGTTACCTGCTTTAAATTTGCAGTTTTCATTTTGTCTTGGGATTTTTAATCAGTATTCTGATAAATTGCTGTTCTGATACAGTGGCTAGCACAAGTTTGAATAAGGTAATGTAAAGGTATGTGTTCCATTGGGTTAAATTTTTCATAAAACAACTTTTAATCATTTAAATTAATTCAGTTGCATGTGGTCTTTGACTATACATGATACAAGTCCTTGTGAAACCAGACAACCAATGGGTCTGGGCTGCCTGTCACTACTTGAACCAATTAAGCAGAGAAAAGGTCGAATTGTGTATGAGCGTTTATTCCAACATCGATGGCAGTATGGGAGATAAGTGAGTCATCCCATAAAATCTGTTATAAAACCCCTCCATAGCATGTCAATTATATTGGGTAGTTATGTGGGGAAGGGCAGATAGGCAAAAGGGAAAAAATGGGTAAAGTGGTTACAGGTGATTACAATCACAGAGAAGGAATGTGGGCTAGGGATTGCAAAAGGTAGTCACCAGTATGTGCTTCTGGGGTTTCTTTGCTCCGCTAAACCAGTTTGTTAATCTTTCCATGATGTCAAGCAGTTCCCCCTTGTTCTCAGATAAGGAGAATGGACAGCATTCCCAGGTAAACTCTCAGGGTGTACAGCTCCTAGCCAGGTCAGAATGGGTTTTCTTTAATCAAACAAAGCGATCACTATTAACAGAGCAAGGATGATTAACATTTTTTATAACTATGATTAGTACCCCACTATAATTAATTCTCTATTCTATTATTTTCTCCTACCCCTTTCACTTTTGGTTAAATATGATAAATTAAACATATAAACCAAATACTTAGTAGTGTTATTCATTGAGGAAGCCTTGGGAAGGGCAGGTTTTGGAGGATTGTTTATTTTGTTTTGGTGGTCTACATTTATATGCATAAACCTTATTCATATTTGAATAAGAGGTTATAATTTTCTCTTTCCCAAAATAAAATATTTATTTTCTTTTCTCCAATGCCCAGAGTCTTTGGGGCTCTTTGAATTAGGCATGTTGCCCACGCAGCTTCAGCTTAGGTTTTGTTTTGTTTTGTTATCCTCACCAGAGGACATTTTTGCATTTATCTTCAGATAGAGCAGGAAGGAAAGAGGGAGGAAGAGAAAGAAACATTGATGTGAGAGAGGCACATCGAGTGGTCGCCACCCACATGACCCCAACCAGGCCCGGGGACAAACTGCAACCGAGTCACTTGCCCTCATCGGGAACCAAACCCTGGACTCTCTGGTCTGTGGGCCAACACTCTAACTGCTGAGCCAGGGCACAGCTTCAGCTTATGAAAGGACGATTAATGACAGCGAGAATGGTGGGAAAATGTTTCCCTTTTTCCTTAAAAGAAAGTAAGAAGAAAAGTGGAGAATCGGACTGTAATTCATACTGTACATAGGAGAGAGGGTCACTTACCTTTACTACAGTAAATTATGTAAGTGAAAGAACTAGGTGACTAGAAGTGCAATTTAAGAACATCTTTATAATTAAATTCAATAGTCAGTGGCTATGGCAGAACCTTTGGACAGCTGTTAGGAACCTGAAACATTCTGATGCCAAACTCGTCCAGAGTATTGAAGGGGTTGGATTTATCTCAGGAAGAGTTTGATTTCTAGCAGGGTTCTGGGATAAACTAGAAAGCTTCCTCCAATCAGGTCTAGACATAGGACCAAAGTAAATTTCAACTGTTCTTTTTTTGATTAATCCTCACCCAAAGATATTTTTGCCATTGATTTTTTTTGTGGGGGGAGAGTGTGAGAGAGAGAAAGAAACATCGATGTGAGAGAGACACATTGATTGGTTGCCTCCGCATGACCCTAACTGGGACTGGGGATCGAACCTATGACCCTTCAGTGTGCGGGCTCTCTAACCACTGAGCCACACCGGCCAGGCCTCAACTATTCTTAATAAAAGATACCACCATTTGTCATATTGCTGTTGTTAACTCATCAAATTTATGTCCTAACACTCAGTGCTATTATACAACTGCTCTTTCTATTTCTTGTACTAGTTCTACACACAACAGGTAGTCCATAAATGTTTTATAGGAATCGCCCTGGCCAGTTTGACTCAGTGGTTATAGCGTTGGCCTATGGTCCAGAGAGACCCGAGTTCGGTTCCCGCTAAGGGCGTGTGCCTCGGTTGCAGTTTGTCCCCGGCTCTGGTTGGGTTGTGCGGGTGACAGCCACTCGATGTGTCCCTTTCACGTCGATGTTTCTCTCTCTCTCTTCCTCTCTCTCCCTCCCACTCTATCTGAACAAAAAATGGAAAAATGTCCTCATGTGAGGATAAAAAAAAAAAGAAGAATGATTAGTGCAAACAGTACAAATTTTTGTACTGTAAATAACATTTTTCTTCTTTTCTTAAGGAGTTGGGACTTTCTAAAGAGTATTTTAAGATGGAGAACATGCCCAGCCGGTGTGGCTCAGTGGACTGAGAGGTCCCAGTTTGATTCCCAGTCAGGGCACATGCCCAGGTTGTGGGCTGTATCTCTCACATCAGTGTTTCTATCTCTCTCTCCTTTCCTCTCTCTAAAAAATCAATAAAACCATATTTCTTCTTTTTAGCCTCACCCGAGGATATTTTTCTATTTTTTGTTCAGGTAGAGTGGGAGGGGAAGAGAGAGAGAGAGAGAAACATTGACATGAACGGGACACATTGAGTGGCTGCCACCCACACGACCAACCAGGGCCGGGGAAAAACTGCAACCGAGGTACGCATCCTTAGCGGGAACCGAACTCGGGTCTCTCTGGACCTCAGGCCAACACTCGGGTAACTGCTGAGCCAAACTGGCCAGGGCAATAAAACCATATTTAAAAAAAAATAATAAGATGGAAAACATTTTAAAGGAACCTGCCATGATTTTATTGCATGTTTATTATTGTATAGTACAGTGTTTTTTACTTTCTGTTGTCACATTTGACTGATTAATAATTTTTAAAAATACAGTTGTAACACAGGTTAATGTGGCTCTTAACACTACAGTCATTTTGGGCTTTAAGTCTTAGTGTTAAGTACTACAAAACAAATTTCTATTCCCTCTTAGTGCCAGCATACCCAACTACAACTTTATTTCATGTAAAAGGTTGAATCTGAAAACTCATGACATTAACAGAAATTGTAGTGTAGTTTTTCAAAGTATTTTGATATATTTGATGTTCCTGTAAATTTTAAATGTCACTTGAGTATATTTATTTTACATTACAGGCACTGGAGATATTATTGCTGTCATGATTACAGAACTGAGGGGTAAGGATATTTTGAGTTATCTGGAGAAAAACATCTCTGTACAAATGACAATAGCTGTTGGAACTCGAATGCCACCAAAGAACTTCAGCCGAGGCTCTCTAGTCTTCGTGTCAATATCCTTTATTGTTTTGATGATTATTTCTTCAGCGTGGCTCATATTCTACTTCATTCAGAAGATCAGATATACAAATGCACGCGACAGAAACCAGGTAAGCTGCCAGTACTCTAATAATTGATGCTTACCAACCATAGAGTTCATAGACATATGTTGGGATCATGAGTAATACAAATATATTTTCTTTTTTAAAAAGCTGTAACCTTCAGTCATTTTAATGTTGAAAACATATCTACACAAGTACTTGAATTATATTTTAAATGCCTACATGGGAAAATTACTAAATTATAGTAATCACTTGGAGTATTTTAGGTTGATGGTTAGCTTAATATCATAATATCATCTAGCTAATTCTAGTAACTTGAAGAAATACAGAAAATTGCATTTTTAAACTGGTTGTCAGTGGGAGGTGACTGGAGAATGGAAGAGGGAAACCTTTCACTACACACCCTTTTGTGACATGAAAATTTTGAACTATGTATTGTCTATTCAGAAAAAAATAAATCAATTAAAAATAATTTATCCTGTCTAAGCTTAGTCATTGGGTGATGGTGAGAGGGGGAAGGACTAATAGAAGAGCTGTATCACAATAGCCATCCTAGAAATTCCGTTGACCCAGCATAGCTTGAGTGCCTGGTGGACTTAGATGGGTGAATATAAAGACACAGGAAAGACAGGATGCTGCTTACAGATGGGATTCAGTAAGTGTGTTTCTTGATTTGTTTGATGTGCTATAAACAAAATATCCATATTGGGAGCTGAGTTCGAGGTGTTAGATCCCTGTCACAGTCCTAGACTTTTCTCGAAGAAAACTAAGAAGTGAATTAACTGGAGAGAGGTTCGAAGCCAATTTTTATATAATGTCATCCTCTTCTTAGTCTGTACAAATCCTTGGATGGGAAAGAAGAGTGATTTTCATCCTTCCTCATTCTAGTGAAAGCAGCACAGACTTAGGTATGGAACAGATATGAGAATCTGAGATCACATCCTGACCTTACCACCAACTTGCCATGATTCTTCCTGTGACCATTTATTTTTTATTTTTTTTTTTTTTTATCCTCACCCGAGGACATTTTTCCATTTTTTGTACAGACAGAGTGGGAGGGAGAGAGAGGAAGAGAGAGAGAGGGAAACATCAATGTGAAAGGGACACATTGAGTGGCTGCCACCCGCACAACCAACCAGGGCCGGGACAAACTGCAACCGAGGTACATGCCCTTAGCAGGAACTGAACCCGGGTCTCTCCGGACCGCAGGCGGACGCTCTAACCGCTGAGCAAAACCTGCCAGGGCTGTGACCATTTATTTAGCTTGTTTCTTCATCTGAAAATTGGTATAAAATATCTGGAAACTATACTTCATTGAACATTTATGTACCAGGCTCTGCATAGTATCTTATACTCCATTAAAGTATATACCTTTTTTTAATGATTTGAGAGTAAGTTTGAGATACGATGCTCCTTTACCCTTAAATATTTCATTATGTGTTTTCTAATACAGTACCATTATCTGATCTATAGATCTTTTCTAGGTTTTGTGAAATTGTCCTAATAAAGTCCTTTATAGCAAAGAGAACCCTGTATTATTTGATCAGATTATATGTTGCATGCACTTGTCATGTCTCTTCTTCTGTTTCATGACATTGACACTTTTGAAAAGTTACAGGACAGTTGTTTTTTCTTTGAGTTTGTCTAATGGCCACTGTTCCTTTGTGATTAAATCCAGGTTACTTCATTTTTTTCAGCAATACTAGTCTAACATTTGTTGAACTTTTTTTTTTTTTTTTTTGAGAGAGAGAGAGAGAGAAACATTGATCAGTTGCCTCCCATATGTGCCCTGACTAGGTGTCGAACCCATGACCCTTCAGTGCATGGGATGATGCTTCAACCAACTTTTTTATTTTGAGATAATTGTATTCATATGCATTTATAAGAAATGAGACAGATCTCATATACCCTTCACCCACTTCCCCCCAATGATAAAATCTTACATAACTAATAAATACCACAAACAGGATATTGGCATTGTTACAATCCACTGATCTTATTCAGATTTCTCCAGTTTAACTTGTATGGGTATGTTTACGTCTATGCAATATCAGGTGACTACTACCACAGTCAAAATACAGAACAGTTTATCACAAGGACCCCTTGCACTATTCTTTTATAGCCACAGTTACCTCCCTCTTACCTCCTACCTATCCCCTGATTACTACTAATCTGTCCCACACTCTATAGGTTTGTCATTTCAAGAATGCTATATAAATGGAATCTTAACTTCAAGAGTTTGGACTTTTTCACCTAACATAATTCTCTTGAGATCCTTCCAAGTTGTTGTGTGTATCAATAGTTTATTTCTATTTACTGCTCATTAGTATTCCATGGCTTGTATATACTGCAGTTTGATTAACCAAATTGTTTTCAGTTTTGGGCTATTATAAATAAAGTGATGAACATTCATGTGCAGGTTTTTGCGTGGATATGAGTTTTCATTTCTTTGGGATTAATGTTCAGTGGTGAAATTTGGGGGTTATTAAGGAAATCCCATATTTGATTTAGTAAAAAGCTACTATACTCTTTTCCCAAGTAGCTGCACTCTTTTACATTCCCACGAGATACATTTTCCTGATCCATTTCCTTTACATTCTTGACAGCATTTGATATTGTCACTATTTTTTATTTTAGCCTTTCTGATAGATGTAGTGACATCTCATTTGTGGTTCTACTTCACATTTCTCTAATGGCTACTGATGGTGAATATCTTTTCATATGTTTATCAGTATATACTTGTCAGTGCAGTGTCCATTTATGTCTTTTGCCCGTTTTCTGTTGGTGTTGTTTGTTTTTACTGTTGAGTTTTGAGAGTTCTTTATGCATTCCAGATACAACTCCTTTGTTAGAACTGTGGTTTGCACATATTTTCTCCGAGCTTGTATCTTGTTTTTTCAATCTTTTAACAGGGTCTTTATAAGAGCAAAATTTTAAAATTTTGTTGAGGTTCAATTTTTTTTCCCCCTTTATTAGTCTTGGTTTTGCACTCAAGTCTAAAGATTTTTTTTTTTCCCAAAAAGTTTTATAGTTAGAATTTTCATAGTTTTACATGTTGCCGTTAAGTCCATAGTCCATTTTGAACTAATTTTTATATACAGTATGAAGTTTAGGTTCAAATTATTTATTTATTTTGTTTATGTGTGTCCAATATTGCACCTTTGTCAAAAGTCAGTTGGGCAAAACAATCCCATTTTCCATTGCAACAAAAAAAAATAAGGTATCTAGGAATAAACTTAACCAAGGAGGTAAAAGACCTGTTCTCAGAAAACGACAGGACATTGAAAAAAGAAATAGAGGAAGATATTAAAAAGTAGAAGCATATACCATGTGCATGGATTGGAAGAATCAACATCATTAAAATGTCTATAATACCCAAAGCAATCTATAGAGACATGGGATGAGTGATTTTTATTTGTGTGGAATTACATCCCTGGGTTTCCAAAGTCCCATTTTTCCTAATCCAGTCCTGGAAGAAGTATAACTGGGGGGTTCAGTAGAGCTAAATGCAAAGCCAGTGTCCAGAGTTTCCACTCCATGTTGCAGCTGGGTCCTGTTCAGCATCAAGCTAGTTGCAGTCCATTAGTTTATTGTGTGTGGGGTCCACATGGTGATGGGCCAAGTATGCAAATGCAGGGGAGCAAAGAGAGCATACCTGCTGCAACAAGAGTCCCAAGAGCACAAGAGGGCCAGGAGCCAAGAGAATGAACTCTTTCATTCTCTTGAATGAACTTACCAGCTTTCAATCTGGACAAGTTACTTAATCTTTCTTGTGTCTCAGTTACTCATACAAAATGGGAATAATGTAGTTCCTTTCTCATAAAATGATTGTGAGGATTATATGAATCACTACACGTGAGGGGCTTAGAACAGTACCTAGCACATGTACTGAACAAATCTCAGTTACTATAAATGTCATCTTTGTTATTCATATTAGGAAGCATTCATGGTAGATTTAAAACATTTGCTCATGGACCATACCTTGAAAAACAGTGGCTTAATGGCATGGTAGTCAGGTGAAGGTAAGGGACCTTAATAAAAAATGATCTTCACAAAAGGGATTTGGCTTCACCTTAGATATTTGCGAGTCAGCAGGATGCTAATAGTATTACAGCCAAGCAGGGGTGGGGGGAAGCAGTAACTTTTAGTCAGATTCAGTCGAGAGACCAAAATCATAGCGGAGGTATACCTGTCAAAGTGTTGGGAAATGTTGAAGGAGGGATTTAAAACTCAGGGGATGATCCAGAATAAGGTAGTAACACAGAAACTGAGTGCAAAGAAAAATATTACAGTGAAGATGTCTAACATTAATGTCAAAAACAGAGAAAAGATGTTCAGAAGTGGGAAGTGTGATATATCCAGGTATTTTTGGGTAAGCTCTAATGTAGATACCCTACCTATGTCTGTATCAGCTTGCTGAAGACTGAACACCTCCTCCCCCCACCACCTGTTCTCCTCTTTCTGATACTCCCTAATCTAATATAATGCCATTCCCACACAGCTCATTGCCTAGTTAGAAAGTTAGGACAGCCATCCATGACTCCCCTCTATTTTCATTCTCCCACATCAATCAGTCACTAGGTTCTGTCAGTTTTACCTCCTAAATCTTTCTTGACTTTGTCCAATCCTCTCCCCACTACCACTTGCCTAATTCAGGCCCTCCTCATCTCACTGAAGTGTACTATACCCTACCTGGTCTTGTTGCCTCCACTCTTTCCTGTGTTACATTCTCCTCAGGAAGCCAGGTAAGAATTCTCCAAAATTCAGATCTCATTGTGGAACTCTTAAGTTTAAAATTCTTCAGTAGAATTCTGATCTGAACAAGAAGGAAGCAGTAGATGTTTTTCAATCTTTTTAAGTCTCTTTTTTAAAATACGCAGGAACACCAGCATTGTAGCTCCAAGGAAGGAAGCCAGGGAAAGAAAAGGGTTAATTTTGGTGGTCCTAAGACTTAAAACCCAGAAATTAAGAGAAGAGTTAATTTTGAGGGAAAACCTGTACAAATAGATCTAAGAACAACTTTTGAAAAAAACTTGGCACCAGCCTTG